AGGCATGTGTTCATCAAAAATAAGTGAATCTTTGAAAAATATCAAAAAACTATTTTACATGACAAAACTTGACCAAAATACCCCCGTAAACTTCATCAAAAATTATTTTTTTTATATTTTATTAGGTGCGGCTTGATAAGAAAAACTCACGCCTAAAATTTTAAGTGATTTGGATTTGTAGGAAAAAAATAAAAATTCAAACACTATCGGACATCCGTGATCGTCAGATCGGCCCAAATTCAATCTAGGCTATTGGGCTCATTTTTTCTTGTGAGCCCACAAAAATATCAAAATGAGTTTTTTATACTTAATCGAGATTTCAATAAATAGAGTATATAGCAATTTGTGCAAATGGTGTAAAGAACCAGAATTAAATTTAAAAGACCACTTTCATGAATAAGCTATTGCAAGACTTTGATTGGGAAAATAGTGAACTAAGAGCAGGTCTATTGCAAAAACTATCTCACCAACCTTTCCGTACACAATTCGCTCATTGCACCAATATGCAAGGGGACGAACAATAATCCGCCCTGAGTAAAGAAGCAAAGGTATGTTAGGAACTTACCTAAGATAATGATAAGGGCCTGTACAGATGAAAAAGAAGTTTATTTTCACATATATTATATCCTGCTTAAGATTAGTATATTCTGGATTAACATAAATTTGTTAGTTCTTTGGCTGACACCATTATATACAGAAGCTTGATGTTATGTGTTTTTGCTAAGGTCATCATAAATATACAAAAACTTAATGTCATATGATGTTTGGCTGAGGCCATCATACCATGTTAAAGATATATAGACCTATATAAGAACGACGAAGAGTGAAAAAGCCCAATAATAACTAACTCTAATAAAGATAAGAAACCCACAAGAAATTTAGAGAGAAATGAACAAATTTTAACCGAGTGAAGCAGCAATAAAGTCCCAAAAGTTGGTATTTCAATGAATCCTAGAAAGAGAAAATCTACTCAAATTATAAATACCAGAGATATCACCAGCAAATCAAGAGAGATGAACATAAATAACAAAAAATCCATGATACTATTGAAAGAACAACGGACTAAACATACTTTTAGAGGTGAAACAAACTCACAAAAAATTAAAAGAAGACAAAGAAAGCCTAAAATACATCCCATGTCATCAACAATGAAAAAAACGAAGCATACTGAACCTATTGGCAATGCATGCCATGAAGAAGCATAGATAATGTGACACCAAATAACTTAAACAGTATATGTGTTGTAGACATATCAAAATTTCCATAGAATATAAAATGCGAAAAATGTGCACTTCAAGAAGCCAACAATCAAAATAAGTTCAAATTTTTGCAGCATGAACCACATTATAAGTGAGAAAATAGAAAGTAGAGATAGATCAGAAAGATAATATTATCCATTGACAGTTATCTCCATCACTTTGATTTGTATAAATCAAATTAAGGTTAGTAGGGACAACTGAGTTTTCAGTAACAGTAGGCCTACATCAGGGGTCAGCGTTGAGCTTATATCTCTTTGCTTTGGTTAGGGACGACTTAACTAGGTATCTACAGGACAACGTCCCATGTGTATGTTGTTTGCAAATGACATAGTTTTGATTGATGAGACTAGAGACGGCATAAACATAAAGTTAGAACTTTGGAGGGACATTTTAGAATCTAAAGGTTTTAAAATTAATCGGATTAAGACTGAATATAGGGAACTTTGGAGGAATGTTTTAATAGTAATAGGAGCATAAATGAGGAGTTCGTTAAGTTTAATGGCCAACAAGTACATGGAAAGCTTATTTTCAATATCTTGAGATGATAATCCATGAGAAATGAGAGATTGAGTAAGATGTTCCTCATAGAATTAGAGTTGGGTGGACGAAATAAGATGTGCTTCTAGAGACTTATTTAATCGTAGCATACCAATGAAACTAAAAAGGTAAGTTATACAAGACAGCTATAAGTCCAATCATACTTTATGGGATGGAATGTTAGACGGTCAAGAAACAACATATCCAAACAAAGAATAGCTAAGATGAGGATATTAAGATGGATGAGTGGCAAAACAAAGGAGAATAGAATTCATAATGACTACATTCAAGAGAACTTAGGGGTAGCTCCAATAGATGATAAAACAAGGGACAGTAGACTTAGGTGGTCTAGTCATGTGCAACATCGACTTCGAACAACACCAATTAGGAGGGGTGATTCGTTTAAGTGGAAGACTCTAAAAGAGCAAGGAGAAGGCCTCAAAGGACAAGGATGGAAGTAGTAAGAAAAGATATAATGGCTTATGGTCAGATTGAGGGTAAGGCTGTGATAGAGCAGAATGGCAGAATAGGATTCATGTAGCCAACCCCAGATAGTTGGAATAAGGTTCAGATGATGATGATGATGAAGCCCTTCTATCAAAGTAAACTCAAATTATTGTAAAATAAACCACAAGCTTAAACTATTCCCACAAGAGCCAATGCAGAAACTGCCCATATCCTACATATACAAGAGTATGGCTTAAAAACCTTAATTAGATCTACGTGTTTGGCCAATTACTTAGTCTCTTCCAGGTGTAAGAAAAAATAAGAAAAAAGTATCTCTATACTCTACAATCCATGTTTACTTATCAACCATATCAGTTTCTTTCTTTCTTTTCTCATGATGACAATAACAATGCTTTCTTTGGATGGTTTAGCAGCTGGATAAAAGGTGAGGGTATTTTGATCAAATGGTATGTGTTTTATTCATTCAAAAAGTTATGGGGCCAACAGGTACATTCAGGTATTGGCGTTCCAATACAAAATAAACATTACATATGTGAGTATTAGCTAATGCAATTAGCTCCATTGATACCCCATATGATCTTGAAATAAATGTCAAAGCCTCAACACCACAAGCACAAGATCAAATAGGATGCTTCATAAAACTAGAATGAAATGGTTACTAGATATTCTAGTAGAAAACATCCTAGGCATAGTGAAAACAAGTAATATGATCATATTAGTAATAAAAGAGTTGTTACATCTGCATCACCTTGAGATCATGTCATGGGAATTTGAGATAGGGTAAGTTAGGTTAGGGCACTGACCTACTAAGAATCAAATGACTAGCAATATTGCATTATAGCACATTATGTAAAATGGAAATAACCATTCAAATGGGGAAAATACTATTGTGCCAATAAAGATCAACATTTCAGAAGTCATTCCACCATTTAAGGTAGTCATTGTACCAATATCTCAAATTCAAGAGGAATTTAGTATTTCTACCCACAGTGGTTAATGTTTGCATTGCATGACCGAAAAAGTTCATTTAATAAGCTTGAATCAAGTATACACTTTATTCAGTTCAAAAACTTCATTTTATAAGCTTTATTAAGTAATCCACATGAAGTGGATGATTACACTATCCCAGGAGAAAAATGAATATAACTAAGAACTTGATACAGATGTAAAAGAACTAAAATTTAAGGCAAAGAAATGTTATAAAAAATGAAAATGATTATAAAAAGGGAACCAATCGAGTTTCTACCCCCACAGACTAGTGACATGAAGGTCCAGGATACATGTCTGAATTCCATACCACCATGTGCGTTTATGGATGCATATTTTTGGATCACAATATGAAGAATTTGTATTGCAGTGAGCAAAAATGTGTAGAAGTGGCAAGAATAAATAACAATACAAGGACAAAACCTTTAGTCAATATTAGGGAAGGGGACGTCAATATGCTTTTGCCAAATAAAATATAATAGCACCATAAAACAATTTGCAAGACCATTTACTTTATCATAGATTTCCATGTTCACAGGGTATAGAGAGATGCACAAACCAACCAACCTGCCAGCTAGAGACAAATATTAGATATTTGAGTTCAAACACTCTTTGGCACGACAAATAGCAATTATAGATTGTATACTCTGATAGTTAAAGTTGAGAAAATACATTAAAAAAAAACAGTGGAACGAAGTGAAATGGAAACTAAAACAACACAAAGTGCCGCAGGTATATTGACTTGAGATACTACTGCATTAAACAAGTCACAATATCGTAGCAGAAGTCCTTTGGCATGAAGGGCACCGGCAAACTCCATTCATGATAATGAATTCACTTAAGATTGAGCTAAAAGACCATAAAATTAAGTAGGAAATAAGACATAAAATAGGAGGAAAATTCCCTCAAAATTTGCTCTTTAGAAAATGAGATGGATTCATTTGTCCAAGAAAAGTTTTTGGTGCGTCAAGGCCCCCACCAGGTGTGGTCCCTGAGTGCTACACCATTCAATAATTGGACGGTGGAGATTGCACCCAGAATATTGAGAAAGGGAAATCGGTGATGGGCAGCCCCCAGTCCCCCTCTCCCCTCTCACTCTGTCTAGAAGGTCCTAAATCTCTCGCTCAAAAACTGCCAAACCCTCCCACCGCCACTTTGCTCGAAAACCTCTCTCTCTCTC